CAGCTTTGACAACAGAAAAACAAAACAATAAGAAGAAAAACACATTTTGCCACGATTTTCTCTTACAAGAAAACACCAATACTGAACACAAGCAATGTTTGTGAAAGTCCTGATGTTTTCTCTCAAGGATTCTTCCCATGACGATTAACATCCTTACTATGAGGGACACGGTTGTGGCATCTAACAATAAGTGAGAGAAAGGTACTCTTCTTGGGAATAAAAAAACATTTAAATAAGTTTTCTAATTTCTTTAGGCTTCATATCTGAAAGCTGAGTGAAGCTACTTAAATGGAATATAAGAGCAAGCCACCTTATAAAGACAAATGAATTAAATCTGGCTCACTTATATTTGCTTACTCTGTAAAATCAGCATCTAGAAATGAAACTGAAAAACCTGGTATCACCCAAATGTATGCTAAGACACCTGGGTTAATTGTCTCTGGATAACTATAAGACATTAGAAATCACTTAATAAAACCGAAATAACAAAAGTCAGGGGCTGGGGATTTAGCTCAGTGGCAAAAGCACCTGCCTGGCAAGCGCAAGGTCGTGAGTTTGGTTCCCGGTACCGGAGAAAGAACAAAAAAAACAACCAAAAAACGAAATAACAAAAGTTGATAATCCTACACTGGTGGTAGTGAATGTGTGGCACACATGCCACAGCTGATTGCTTGAAAGCAAAAAGGTTTGCCATCACTGTCCTACATTAGAAGAGCTCTTTTTTTCTTCTAAGATTTATTCTTCTCTATTTTGAATAAGTAGCCTCCCAAGATTCTGTATTTGGTCCTTTGCCTTTTAAAAACTCTTCGTTACTTTTTATTGCTGTGACAAAATACCTGACACCCACAAGTTAAAGGAGTAAAGGTTTATGTTGGCTCAGTTTGTAGAGGTTTCAGGCCATAGCTGACTGGCTCAAAGGCAGGGTAGCCTGGCAGTCGGGCATCACAGAGGAGAAACAGTCCATGGCAGAGGAGCCAGGAGGGAGCAGCAGCGGAGCAGCAGCAGCAAGCCTCTTCACTTTTATCCCAGCCAGGCTACAACCCCTTTGGGTAGTGTCACCCATACCCAAGGTGGGCTGTACCATTATGCACACCCAGAACTATGTTAAACGAATCAGTGGACTACTTTAGTTATCACACCCTTAGTCCATATCCACTCTTAACCCACTCACACACTCACACACCTCCAAAAAGCCTCATCTGTGAGGGCAAGACACTTGCAGGGGGGTGGGGGCTAGATACAAGCCATAACAAACTGTATTCTATTTCCTCCCAAACATTTATCTATTCCCATCACATCAACTCTTCAAAACTTCATCAAAGTGCCAGACCATTCATGCTTTCTGCTAGGGTCTTGTAATGTCCCAAATGTGTCTACAAAAGAATGTCTACCCGTGAAATCCTTGTCCTGATTTCATTCTATCTTATTTACCAAGTCACTCAGCTTTTCTTTTCTCTTACTACTTTTAAAAATTCTTTACTGGCAGACTTCTGCTAAGTGTTCAGGGCTTTGAACATAACTTGTGGGGTATTTTGTTATTTCCTCCTGTATAGAGTGCCTGCAAAATAGCCTCTACATATTCATTTAAATTTAGTTTATAATATTTAGGGAAGAAGTTGGTCAAGGGTCCACAGGCAGTTACAGGTCACTGTTTCTGGGAAATCCAAGTATGTAAATTGTTTTGAGTAAAACTGAATATACCTAGTATGCACAGACGCTATACATTTGTTTTGAGATAAGGTCTTACTATGTAGTCCAAGCTTACCTCAAATTCACTATGGAATCCAAGCTGGCCTCAAACTCCTAGAAAATCCTCTAGCCTCAACTTTCTAAATGCTGAGATTACAGGTGTGCACTACCACACCAGGCTAGATGCCATTTTTAAGAGCTATGCGCATTTGTCTTTGTATCACAGGTATATACAAAAAGCAAAAAAGACTACATTAAGATACTTTCACCAAAATGATTATATAGTCTTAATTACTTTTTAAAAACACTTAAATTTCTGAATCAGTGATAAGTGCCATGTTACACTGAAAACAAAACCTAACTGGAAAATAATCAGCCTTGAAAACTAAAGGTCAAAAATACCTACCCCCATCAGCCTATTTTTGCCTTACCCGCCTTACAGAGTAACCAAGGCAAGGTAGCTAAAGCAAGGGTAAGCTGATTGGGGCTGGCCTTTTTGATCTCTAGTTTTCAAGGTTGGTTATCTTCTGGTTAGGTCTTATTTTGAGGGAAACAGGGTGTTTGTAATCGCTACTCACTCATAACTTCTTTGGGGCCAATAACGTATTTTTTAATACAGTGAATTACCTCATCGGTCTTCAGGGGAAAAGAGTTCATCTAGGAGTACATCTCCTTCATTTTTGTTCTCCCAGTGCCTGAGACAAGAGTCTGATGCAAAATGTGTTAGATGAATGTAAAATATCATACTGCCTTCTAGTCATAACGTTACGGTGACTTTTCCACTACAAAAAACTTAAAAAGATGCCAATCAACTATACGCAGAAAATTGGAACATGAAAGAAGTTAACTCATTTTCAGATAAAAACAGCAACTGTGCTAGCACTCTTATTTTTATAAACTTACAATTACCTAATCACTCTTCGTCAATTAGACTTAAAATCTCAAGTATTTCAGAGTTCCTTTCTTCTGCCTTCTGGCACTACCAATTTGTTATTTTCCTGAAAATTCGTCAAATCTTATTCATTGCTCTGATTCATAGTGTAAATGTGCACATTTAAAAATAACTCAAGGGGGCTGGGGATTTAGCTCAGTGGCAAAAGCGCCTGCTTGGCAAGCGCAAGGTCGTGAGTTCAGTTCCCGGTACCGGAGAAACCCCCCCCCCCAAAAAAATAAATAAATAAAAAATAAAAATAAAAATAACTCAATATACAAACTATATTAAGATTATGATTATTACAGTAATTAGACTAAAAGTCCAACTACTTGAGGCTTGACTATCTCCTTCACGTTTTCCTTATCAGGATAAAAGTTGAGGAGTGGGTATAAAAGGCTGGCAGAAAAAATCCCAGTTGTTTATACAGACAAAAGCCAAATAACTCAATGCAATTTTAAAAACAATCTATTGATTTCATTGGCAGAACCAGTTAAAAGCAAAGTATCTGGACTTAAAATTGCCATGTCTGATATTTTACAGTAAAGCATATACAGTTTTGTTGTAATGTAAACTTCTGTCCATCATCTATCAAACTTTAATTACCTCCAAACACCAATTCTTCAGGTGGGGAATTTTTTTGGAGGTTGGAGAAGGGTGGGGTCGACTGACCAATAGACAATCATCTCGGTCAGATTTGATGCATCGAGACAGTGAATAGAGGTAGTGAATGTGAGACCGGGGATAATGCACACCCAGACTAACCCATGCCCAGCAGAGCCGGAGACGACCACGGAAAGGGAGACACCATGCTTCAGCCCAGAGGGACTGGGAAGGGCACAGGATTTCCTGCACTGAAAGGAGGAGGTTTGCGCCAACTACACTGGATGCAGAGGAAGGTACTTTAACACCTGGATTATACAGTCTGAAAGTGAAAGAAACATAATGAAAAAAAAAGGTAAGATCATAACCTTAAAAAGAAGGTGCCCAGAAGGTGTGGTGTATCCACCTGTAAATGGTGAAGATGACTTGGAACTGTCCATAAAGGGAGCGCCAGGAAAGAGAAGCTGACTCCTCCTACGAGAACTGTATTTCACTTGGGTGCAGAGGTGGAATTTACTCTACCTTGATTAGGTTCCTTCATTCTCATCAGAGGATTTCAATCCTGTCAGGTTTGTCTGCATTGCTTGCTTTTACGTCAATTTATTTGCTTTTGATCAGCAAAATAACTCTGTACTCCAGGATCATGGCAGAGAACATGACCCTCTAGGTTTTACAGTCTCTAACTCTTATTGAAGTATAAAAGAAACATCACCAGAGGATGATAGCTTAAAAGATATGTAGTTTATTTATCTTTATAATTTGTTTAGATTTCAACCCTAGGTCAAATCAAACTATCACTCATTAAGAGAAATATCTGGGCAGTGTTTTCGTAGCGTTTCATTTGGTTTTGTTTTTGACAGGTCCTTCTACTCCAGTAAAATTGCTTTTACAGAATTGAGCTTTCTTGTGATTTTCTCTGCTTCCAAGCTATTGATTTTATGGGTGAGATGTACTGAAGAAGTCAGCTCAGCCTGCTTCCCATGAGCCCCCTGGGAGATCCTCTCAGCCCTTCAGGGTAAGGAGGAGTTTGCCTCTGCTAAATAATGACATATTCACTTTATAGACCATGCAAGTTTTATGAATATCTAGTTATGTTAACACATCTCATTCAGTTGAAATAATTAATTTTTCATTTGTAAATTATCTCTTTTGACAAGAATAGATAATAACAACAGGATAAAGGACTTACCGCTACAGTGGAACATTTTTAGTTAATTACACATGTTTTCTGCTTTCTGAGGGATGAACTAAATTATGGCCTCTGTGATTTCCTACGCTCTTAAAAAAATCATGTTTCTTCAGTGATCCCAAGGGTCCCACAAGCAAGCACGGGGCTACTAGTTCTAATGCAGACACTTCAGCTTATCTTCACAGACCTCGCCTTAGTGGCCATCAGCATGGGTCCTCATGGTCTTTATTAATCGGCAGGGCCTGGAAACTTCTCACATCACTCTGCCTGGTCTTTGTCTGGCACCCACCTCTGTGCTGAGTTTTCTAACCCCAATCTGTACCATCAGCTGCACCAAACCTGTTCTTTGATACTAACCTTTTGAAAAATCTACCCTTAAAAGAGACAGCTCTCAACTTGCATGGTACAAAACACAGCTCTTCAAAGACTCTCTTCAGAAACTCTTATTCTGAAATATTTAGTAGATAGCACACAACTTACATCTCAACATAATCAACTACTGTTTGTACCCACACATGTAACATGCTTAGATTATAACCTACATTAAGGGAACTATGCCCATCAAAAATTCCCATAAGGAGAACTCACCTGCCAAAATTTTCTTCAACTCTCTAAACCATATGGCACAGTGGTCTTCACTGTAATTAATAAGATCAAGCACAGAATCCTTTAACTTATTTTGTTCCTTTTTCAAGCAGATGAAAAGTGTGATGCCTAATAAAGTGCCTCTTCTTTGCTGTTTAAAGGAACAGCGCCGTTTCAGTTTCACTGAGAATATATCTTTGAGCTCAACAGAGTCTTCTTTACATAGCAGATCAAACTTGGCATCACCTGAAAAGAAATTTAAAGTTTCAATCAAAATCATTATGTCCATATTTTAAGTGTGTAATAGGTAAACCCAGAAAATCTTTCACCATAATATTTGTATGACTTTTCCTTTTCCCAAGTCTCTGTTTTAGAGGGAAAGGTGACAAAAGAAACTTGGGATCACTAGAATGAATGGAGACAGACCCCATCACACAAGGCCTAATATAACATTCAGAATCTGAGAATGTTCAATACATGAAGAATTTCATGAACATACAAGTGGGTGATCAAAAATATGTTTAAATTTTTAAAAATTATTACAGTAAAAGACACATTGCCATCTGTCCTCCTCCAAATACTTCCTCTAACTTTGAACACACTGATCCCATCGTTCTTGCTATTTTCTGAAGCAGTTCTGGAGGTGCTCCTTCAGGAGCATCTTTACAAGGAATGCTCCTGCCCGGCGCCATCAAACAAAAGGGCAGGCTCATAGAAACATTGCCGTGTGCCCTTGAGCCAGCTTTTGCACCAGAGTTAGCACCACATGACACTTGGCTCTTCTCCAAAGGCAAAAGGACAATGAAAAGTAGAGGCTTTAAATAGATTCAGGACATCAAGACAGCTAAGACAGTACAACTAAAGACACTTGTGAAAAAAGGATTTCCACAAGTGCTTCAGAAACTGGCAAGGAGGCCAAGATACAATCATGTACAAGTCAAATTCCTGGAGAGGAGAAGGCTGCGCAGAAAGCAAACTCTAGATCTGCAGGGTTCCTCCTAAAGTCCTCAGCAGAGTGTGAAGGTGTGTGAAGCCAGAGACAAAACTACAAACAACGAACAAACAATGCTCAGAGATCACCATGGTGCTCCTACCAACAAAAGTGGAAAAACACTGAAAGTCACAGGACACCCCAGGAGAGTACTGAGAAGAGGACTGGCTCATTAATGAGTTGATGAAAGGATGTTTTCACTCCACCTAATAAGTCTAAAAAGCGAGCCTTAAATAATTTCACTGTTTCTGAGGAACTTACAAAGCACAAGAATATTCTTACTAATACAAAAATACCCTGCAACTCTACATGAGAACATTCACAGTATCTTTCATCCAACCCTACAAAACTAGGAATGCAAACAAGGAAGAAAGTCTGACCTTAATAGGAGAACAAGTCATGCACTGAAAGAAATGCAGAAATGGCAGAGGTGCTAACCACCACAGAAAGCAGAGGCCCTCACAGCTTCTTAGGCCCTCAAAGGGTGCACAAGATTGAGCTTAGTTGGAGGAAGGACTTTCGCTTTTCAGCAGTTCCTTCCCTGTGTTCCCAGGAAGCTTCTGTCCTCTGCCCGTCATTCTAGTCACACAGTCTGATTGCTTATGAAACACAGATACTGCCGTAAGGTAAAGGAAGAGGAAGCCCTTTCCTCAATGCTAGTAGGGTGGGAGAACCCCAGTCCATTTCTCAGGCCTGAAATTTCTTCAAAGGCTTAGGTTTCGGGTTCAGTTGTGATTTATTTCTGTCATCCTTCAGTGACCTGAGAATCAATCACCTTCAACGTATCAACACTACAAGATTTCCTTTGTATAGTGGAACGCTCTTAGACAATCACGCCATAATCATTATTACTACAATCAAGGATTAAACTAATCAGTAGAATGTTCGTATTTGGGCCAAAATGCTATGTATACCTTTATGAACTGAATGATTCACCCCATCTTTTTTTTCTTAGCAGTGCTGGGAATTGAGCCTAGGGCTAGGCAAGCATTCTACCATGGAGATCCAGTCCAAACCCACCCCTTTTCTATAGATACTAATCAGTTAATCTACATTAGCAAGATTCACTTTTCTCTAGTACAGTAGTTCTTAAACTACTAGTCTGCGAGCCCCGTTGCGTTTTTCAAGATTTGCGGGTCAGCTCCACATAACTTTTCTTTGCATAGGTTATCTCTCATTATCACTCTCTCTCTCTCCATCCATCCATCCATCCATCCATCCTTCCATATTAGAATTTAAATTGGGACATTTTAAAGCAAAAGATACAAAGCATATACTTCTGCAGCTTTGTATAGTAAAACAAAAGCTTCACAGGCTGAGGCAGCTAGGGCAGAAGCTTCACAAATTCAAACCCAGACTGGCCCAATTAGTGACTTAGGGGCAACCTATCTTAAATTTAAAAGAAGGGAGGTGGGGGTGAGATATAGTACAATGTGAAGGCCCTGGGTTCAGTCTCTAGTACAAGAAAGAAAAAGAAAGGGGAGGGATTATAAAACAAGAAAGGATGGAAGAAAAGAGGGAAGGAAGGAAAAAAAAAGAGAGAAAATACTATTTTAAAATATTTTAATTTTTCCCTTTGATCATATTATGAAGTTATAACCTCCTCTTAAAGACTCAACATTCCAGTTAACTACAATTTTTTTCCATATTTATACACAAAATTGTCACCAGTTGACTGGTGAGGGTCCCTCTAACCTGCCTCCTTTGCTGTAACCTATCTATGCATTTGAAAATAGCCTTTCTTGTAACAGTATAGTGTTCTGAGCTCAACTGAATTTCTCTGGAAGTCCTGTCCTTTCAGGAAAGAATATTCTAGAAACTAGAAGCTGGTTGGTTTGGTACTATAAACAAGGGAAACCAGATTCATTCCTAGTAAATCAGGACTACATTAGAACTGGTGATCATGTTACCAGTTAGTTATTTGTACCAGTTGAGTAGGAAGGCATGTAGTCTAGGTCTCCATAACACTTGGGCAAAGCCAAAGATATCTTACCCCCTTCCTCTACCCTCAAGAATGAAAGGAAGAAGCCTTATCAAAGATCCTGGAAGATCCTCAATCTGCGGTACATAAGGCACTATGTGGTAAATAACGTACTGTGGGGTTTAAGAAAACTTGCCTTCCATAGGGGGACCTGCTGGGTGTCTGTTGCATATGGCTGAATGTGTACAGACAATCCTACTGCTTTCCAACCTGAGCAAATTCAGACAGTGTGTTATACTTTTCTAGAAATCAGTCAAAACATTAACAAAGTTGAATACCTCTCCATTTATTTTTCATCTGTATTTCTTAAGAGTTGCTGCTATAAATGCTTTTCTCTATTTCTATTTGATTGTCTTTTTTATTAATAATTTGTAGTTCTTCAAAAAGTCTTGAAAATTAGGCCCTTACTGCATAACATGCTAAAAAAACTTCTAATCTAAGCCTAATCTTATATTAGCTATGACATTGTGTCACATGTAAATTTAGTTTTATATAGTCAGACCTACAACAAATAAACAGCACAAAAGAAGAGGAGAAGAAAGGAAAAAAAAAAACACCTATTGAGGGACAGAAAAAATGTGATGAAATAAATTCTTAACTTTTCATTTGAAGTCTCATACTATAGTCTGAATTCTCCCATATGCCTGTGCTTTACTCTCATTAAAAGGTAATTCAATGACTACTCCAACTGAAAACCCCTCATACATTGCAAATTTGAAGATATTAACCAATTCTGGTAGTTAAAACCAGAATTTCCAGAAATAAGGAAAGAATACCAACTATCACCTTCACTATTCCTAATTATTCTCCACATCCTAACTAATAATAAGAAAAATAAAGGCAATGACAGTAACTGGTAGTAGGGTAAGGAGTTGAGGTTGTAACTATCAATGATATCAAAACATATCTATAAAATCTAAAAGGATCAACTTAATCATTACACCTAGTAAAAATATGCACTAAGGAAATAAGTTATATTTATATGCATGAAAACAAAATAGACATGCAGTGATCCCATACCAATTAGCCCATTATACCTAGGAATAAATTAGCAAAATGATGCTGGACTTGAATGGAGAAAAAAGCCATTCATAGTATACTGATATGCAAAGAATTGACTAGAGATATACCACGTTCAATATTACATATTTTCCACACCAGGATTCTAATTATTAGATACTACTTTATAGTACTCTCAGTCAAAATCTCAATGGTATTTTCTCTGATGTAAGGAAGGGCAAGAAAATTGGTAACTGGCAAATTTTCTCAGAAAAATAAAATAGATTACATTAACAGGGCATTTTTTTAAAGATCATGAAGGGGAGTACATGCTCTCTGTCAGATGTATTTTGTGATGTTATAATTACAGTATCTAGAAACATAGAAACAAATGGACCAGAGAAACACTTCTATGCATTTTTAAAATCCTAATGTGATCATGGTGAACAAGTTCAATGGGAAATAGTGAAAGGAGATTTAAACAGATTAATCTTTTGAAAAGAAAAAGTAGAGCCCTATCTCATAATATACACCAATATTTCCATATTTAAAAGAAATGTATATAACTGTAAATTAGAATAGCCCTAAGCATAAGTCAAGAAGGACCTATAGAGATCAAGATAATTAACATAAAAAGGATGTGATGCCTGTAACATCCTAAAGACCCACAAAGAAAAGTCATAGGAAAGGTCAAATTGGCAGAAATATTTACAATGCACGACAGTTATATAATCCACTTAATCAAGAAAAGGAACGCTTAAATGGAAAATTACATAAAAGACCCAAAATTACATAAAAGACCCAAGCAGGCATTCCACAAAAGAAGAAATGCAAATTGACCAATGAACATATGAAAAAGTTCAACCTAATTAGTAATCAAAGAAATGCAAATTAAAACAACAAGATACCACTTTTTGCCTTTTAGATTGGCAGGAGATCAAAAATAAGGCTCAGTGATGTTACAGCGAAAGGAAGTACTCCCAGTGCTGGCGGGAATGCAAAAAATGGTACCTGCTGGAGAACAAATATGTATCAAAAGATTTCCAAATGTTAATTGCAGCAATACTTATAAGAGCAAAAATATTTGAAGCAATATGTATGCTCTTCAATAGAATGGATGAATAAAACATACTTATCTTCTGTAGTTCATTTTCTCTTACTTCAAATAATTTTTTTTAACTTTTATCTTAAAGATTAAAAAATCTGACAGAAATGAAGACATAATCAAAACAACACAAAAACAACAAAAAACATACATGACCTCAAAACAAAATG